TGAGCTCTCTCAACAGTTCTGACACTACTGGAGCTCCACACCCACAGCAAAGTGGCGCTTGCAAAACAGCACAGGAAGCATCGCCTTCCTGGCATACAGTACTTACAGTGATGAAGAACTTCCCTTCGTGATGCAAACAGCTCCCTCAAAACGAAAGAGAAAATGCACCAAGCCTTGCCTTTACTACCCGGAGAAAATGCCCGACAGGCCGGGTTCTCCCCGTGTGCTCGGCAGACCTGTGACCCGTGAAAGCGCGCTCTCAACGCGGCAGACAGCGCGACTCACAGTACGTGCGACCTCCTGGCAAAGTCGAGAAATTGACCTACGGCAAAGAAGTGAAATGGGGAAGAGGTGTGCCAAAGGCGATGGGGGGTGTTCTTAAATTCAGTATGAAAATAATGTCTCCTTTTTTACTAAAGACAGCTGCAATCTAGCAATTTCAGATTTCCAAAACACGCCCCTGGACACAAGCCCAATGCTAATTTGGTGCAACCTCTGAATAGGTTGCTGAGCAGGTCACTGTAGAAGTGGCACAAAATCACCTGTAGGTTTTAATTGTGAAGTCTGACGGTCCTGTAGAACGCTTTCTGTTATTTTCGTACGTGCCAGTCAAATTGTTACCGGAGAATCCTTTTTTCAGGTTAAATGGCGTCCCAAGACTTTTCGGCTCCTAACTACTGATTTCGTTAAATGTTTTTTTTCATGATAACTGGATTTTATTTTTCATCCGCCTTCCTTCATATCACTTTTGCCGGGGTCTGGCTGTTTTCCCCAGCTTCAGCTGAATGCGAACTACACAATCATTTTGGCCCGGAATAAAACATGCGCTGGTTAATCCTGGAGGTTCTACTTAAGATGTAAGGAATTGCATGTAAGAGAATAAAACCGCACTTTTAATTGTATTCACTTAAGATGTCAAAATGCGGGATTGACGTTTATCCCTCATAGAGTCTATTACACGAGTCTATCAACTCCTAAGGAGCGGTCTTCATTAAATTTTCCCAGCGTTGGAGTTCTGTTCACTGATATTTGTTATTGTAATTATATTACTATATTATTGTTGTAACACAACAATACAGTACAACAGTACAAATAAACACGCACGAAGTGTCAATGTTGACCGTAAAGGAGAAGCGTCTCCAGCAAGCGGCCTCGTGGATCTAGGGTGTTAGACTGATGACTGTGTATACTGTATATATATATATGTACACACACGCGTGTTTTACAGAATCCCTAAAAGATACTCCCTGAGAGGACAAACAGACGGAGAAGCCTTGCTGGGGAACCAGGTCCGTGAGGGGCGGCACGCAGGACGGCATACAATCTGGAGACGCTCGTTAACTCGCTGCACCGGTGCACTGAAGGAGTCGGATAGTTTCAGCTTCACCGTCCGTTTCTTTTCGAGAATCAAATCTGGAGCCTATTTTGCGTATAAATAAGGTTTAAATCCAAACGTTTCTTTGACCAACATCGGAGACGTGGACAACCGAAACTAACATAAAAGGCAAATGCTGACAAGATTAAAAAATCCGAGACGAGACAATTTCTTACGTGTCAGCTGCATTCTTGTCCTACAGTAAAAGCTTCCAGTCCCGGTGACCCACACACACACCTGTTGGTTTTGTCCCAGCCGAGTCCTCAGTTATACAGTCAAACCCTCCATTGACTTAGTAGTAAAAAGAT